GTAGATTTAGATTTACTCTCACCCCGCCCGAATGTTGAGTGAATGTTGTGTTTTATGGTTAATTTTTTTTACTCACGTTTTTCTTTTATGTCTTGTCTTGCACTCCCTTCCCCCATTGTTGTAAGCCGCCCTGAGTCCCCCCAGGGAAAAGGGCGGCCTATAAATGTTCAATAAATCTACAAATCTACAAACTGCAGTTGTTACACTTAACAACTATGGCAAGAATGATCATTAAAAGAGACAAATGTCACTTAACAACTGTCTCATAAGTCTCAGTGACAAAAATGTTGGATTCAAATAGGTTGTAAGTTGAGGAAACAACAAAATGAAATTATGAATTACAATAAGCTGTTCTAGGTTAGAAATTAAATATAGACTTTATATATAGACTTTTTGCACATAAAAACATATATTTTGCGTATATTGAATTAGAATCTGGGAATGTTTACTTTTAGATATGAAGTTATTCTGAGCAGCAAAGCATATTTTGACAGCTTGGTTATCAATTCTTCCATAGAGTGCATGAAACATTCTTTCCAATAAGAGATATCTAATATTAATGAAATAGTTACTATATACCAAGCCAATACTTTATGTTTAATAAAAGTTAAATTAAAATAACAAAAGATGAAATGGAATCTGAAATTGATTCATTCTGTCATGAATAATTTTCCAAAACTGTGAGCTTTACAATATTGCTTCCAAGTGTGAAGGAATGATCCAACCCGCTAATTACATTTCTAATAATATTTAGATAATTATTTGTTTTAGCAATAAGGAATAGATTAATATAATAACAAGAAATCTTATATCAATTTACTTTAAATGTGACATTTGGACTATTTTTCAACTTAAATTCCAGTTATTGCATATTTATTATTTCATCTAAATTCTTCATTCATGCAATCATACAATTTTTAACTTTTTGGTTTCCGAATAATACATTATCAACAATTTATAAATAAGACCCAGCAGATGTTCCAAGTTACATGTTATAAGATTTTCAAATTTAGTACTTTTAGTACTTTGCTGTTTATTTGAAGATAATGAAACCAGTCAGTGAACTAAATTATTGAGTCTCAAAACGTATAATCTTATTAATAAGCAAATCTTGCAATCTAAACAATTATCTATCTACTGAACAAATTTCTTTGCACTCTCATTGTAAAAACAAAGCAGGCAAGAGGAAATCTAGATTTATTTCTTTTCCTATATTTATCTTTGGCATTAAATACCATCCTTATTATTTCATGATCTTTTATAAATTGTTTGTTTGCATTAGATATATTTATGCAGGCTGCCTGAAGGTCTCACTGTTTATGTAAGGTAACCAGGACGTGGGATAGTTATCTTTTCTATGCTTGCTTTCCCTTTGAGGAATTGATTTAACATGAACTTAAGCAACTTAATGATTTCTATGTAAAATTTTAATTGAATGATGAAAATGTGTACTTTCTTTGATTATATACCACAGAATTTTGGATTTGCTTTATTTGTTTTTCCTGATTTTGTTCAGTTACTATGATTTTAAAATTTTTATAGCTTCCTTGCTAAATGATGCTATTTATCAAATGTAGTTGATAAATGGTTATCAATATCTTAAATAGTTTGAAATGCTGAAACTATTAGTTGTTGATGCCTCATAAGAAATTATCAAACAAAAACAAACCACTGGATCAAAGACTTGGTATCTCTTGGTATCAGATTAGTTTGTTCCAAATTATATCTCTTTTCCACCTAAAAATCTAAACGTAATTCATGTGCAGATTTGAGTTTATTAATCTGTACTCTTAACTTTCCTGCAGGATACAGACCACATAATCCCTATCTTCATTTATAATCAGCTCTTATTTCATGTGCTTAAGAGCCATGGAAGACAAATTGGCCAAGAGAGTGACTGGTCAAAGTAATCCTTTCTGGATTTGAATTTGAATGGAATCTCCTTGATCTTAATGGCTGGAGTTGAAAGGTTCAGAGGAAGTGAATCCAAAATCTCTCTATGTAATAGTTCCCCATATGTTCAAGTTGAAAAAGGAGAAAATATTTGCAGAGGCACATTCTATTCTCAGATAATGTAATCTTTTTCATCTCCAGTGGAATGGTTGGTATAATTCATAATTGATGAGTTCACCTTTATTTTTGGTAAGATTGGGTACATTTTCTGATTACTAAGGCTATATAAGGTAAAGCACGTGTGTGCTAGTCATTTCCAGCTCTAGGGGCGGTGCTCATCTCAGTTTCTAAGCCGAAGAGCCAGTGCTATAAGAAGACATCTCTGTGGTCATGTGGCTGGCATGACTAAATGCCAAAGGTGCATGGAGCACTGTTATCCTCCCACCAAAGTGGTCCCCATTTTTCTACTTGCATTTTTTACGTGCTTTCGAACTGCTAGATTGGCAGAAACTGTGACAAGTAATAGGAGCTCACTCCATTATGTGGTGCTAGGGATTCAAACTGCTGAACTGCCCACATTCTGATTGACAAGCTCAGCATCTTAGCCACTGAGCCACCACATCCCTAGTCATATATAGACTATATATTTACTCCCCAAACCCCCTCTTTTTCTAGGAACTTAATATCCAACAAGTGGATATAGTTTAATTAACTCTGATTATGTTACATTATTAGCAAGGAGAAAATGATCAGAAATGAAAAATCTTTACTTTAATTCCATCTACTAAGTCCAGTAGTGAAAGCATACTTTTTACTCAGATATCAAATAATAAGCACCATGGTTAAAGAAATAGGAGAAACAAGGATTGAGATTTGAAACCTTCAATATCTTTTTTATGTATTTAATAAATCATGTTATTGTTATGATACAATTTATGATAAATTATAAAATCAAACACAGGAGTAATAAATCTAATACAGAAATGATCTATTTTCTGAGTGGTAGCCATTTTAAGTACTAATTTCACAATTTAGTTTGGGTTTCAAGGAGTTAACTGTTAAGACATGAAAGTCATACACATCTTTATAATAGGACATGCTTTTTTAAAAAAGCAAACCACTTCAGAAATTATTGCTCACATAATTTATAAAACTTCACAGACAGAAAAGAAACCATATTCTCTACACTGGGCTAAACAAGGTGGCATCTCTAGATATTTAACATAATAATTTACATAACCTGAAATCACTATCCTGCTCAGAACAATAGTGTTGCTTTAAATTATGGGTTACAATCCCGTTTTTCTGAAAGTGACTGCCAGCCAACAGAATACTTTGTGAATTTTATCTTCTGATTCATTTGAAACTGCCACCTACACAAACTGTTTTCATAATTAAATATTGGCAAGGGAAGAAATTAATGTATCCCACTCCCCTATAATTCTGCCTGTAGGACCATATAATAATATTGTGTGATGTAATACTAGGCAAAGCACTGAAATACAATTTTTGTCCTAGCATTAGTTAGTGGTCATATCAGCACTAATATTTGGGTATTTTCAGTTTTTGTCCACCTTCTTTTTCTTTCAATAGAACCTATTGCCACAAAACGATGATGTTTCAGTTACTAAATCATGCAATTTTATGTATTGACCTCGGATGGAAACATGGAACAGAACTCAAAGAAATTTATGTGAGTAAACATCTCAATTTACTTATTAAGACACATTATAAGACTGTATTTTTTCATGTTAAACTGTTTAGCATCAAAATCTATCCTATGTAACTAACTGCAATTATCTCAACAAGGCTTCATAGCCATTACTTTTAATGAAACAGTAATACCAAATCAGAATTTTTCTGGCTCTATTCCACCAAAACGGCTTTGGAATTTTTTTCAAACTCTGGAATAGTTGGAAAAAGTTGACTGGAAGAAGTCAGACTATGGAATTTGTTTTTCTTTTTAAATTGCAGTACTGTAGAAAATCAAGCACTTAAAATTTAATTCACATTCGTAGCTGATTGTGTAGATTACCTAATTGTAAAACAAAACGGAAACAATCCCACGTACAGCTTGGGAAACAAAATCCAGTACTCCCAATCCAGCAAGGAAGCCACTCCATGAAAAAGAAGTCTTCTACCCTATCCTAGGTACCTTTAATTAACAGGCTGTATTTTCCCAATAGCCTTGTCTATCAAAATGAAAGAGAAAGCTTCACCCATTTCACATTTCTAATATTCTTAGAACAGTCTGCTTACTTTCCAGAATGCTCCATGTGTTTATGTGCTGTCTTTATCACATCCGCTCTACCATCAGATCTATAGAACCAGCTTTCTTCGGTCTTTTTGACTCTATATTTTGAATCACCCAGCGTTTTTTCTGCTGCCATATTGTTCATTTGACCATACTTAAACCCTCACAAGAGTGATCTGAAATCAGTTATATGATTATAGCTAATTATAAAAAGGGTTATTAAATTTTTTTATTGCTTCAGTTCTAGGACTGAACAGAATATGGTGATAGTAACAAAAAATAGTTTTTGTTTAAAAAAATCTGTTTATGATACCAGGAGATTAATATATATTCTGTATTGTGGTTATCCATTTTAATAGTTGTAGACTGCATTCTTAACAAACAAGAATGGAAATTTAATGAACACACCAATCTACAGACCTTTACACTATGTCCTCGTTTATGCAAGACAGGTCTTTAATTTGCTTATGTATTTTTCAAAATGCATTTTATTGGTATGACTATGTGTAGAATCTGATCATAATAAAAGCAAAAGAATACTCCCCCCACAATAAGCCCATAAATTTCTTCTTGTGATCATTACCTTAGATTTCAAAGGATTTATTTTTTTAGATTTATAACAATACCAAGATATCTGCATGTCAGTAAAGGAAGTAGGCATGAATCTGTTGAAAAGATGAAAAAATTAAAAATATATAAAATTAGGCTATTGAAGAAAAAATGTTAAACATGTATCACACTGTTATTTTTACTATAACTTTCCAAAACCATAAGCACCAGATTTCAAATAAATTGCAATAGTTAATACAATTTTTTATCATTAACTCTTCATTATAATAATTTTTTTTTTAAAGTAAATTAGAATATTATTTAGGAAGTTCAGGATCTCTTTAAACCATTATACTTGTACAGTTCAGAAAATCTTTTCTCAACCTAGTAGCCCATGTCCATTTTGCAATCCAACTTAAAATCCATCCCATCTGGAGATAACAAGTTTGGAAAACCGTTGTTTGGAAGTATGTATGTAAATACAAATATACCGGGTTTTCTTTAAACTCTACTACTGCACTTTTAAGTAAGTTATATATAAATTATTTAAAAAAAATCCACAGTATTTGAAATTATAGATAGGAAATCTTGGAGTTAGCTGTGACTTTAGAATACAGAAGTGGGTGAGATCATGATTCATGATCTTTGATAAATCTCATGTATTTATTGATTAATCTGAAAGAGGTTCTAAATACATGTTTTTTTAAACAATGTCTCTAGTTAAAAGTCAATAGAGAATTCACAAGTTTTCTTCCCGTAAAAACTGGAATACAGATGAGAAGTCTTTTTGGGCATAGCCCTTGGCACACATGATCCTGTAAATCTGATGGGCTAGGGATCCAAGTGGGACTGGAGACTTGGTGTTGGTGGCAGAAATCTGGGCCAAGCCAAGATCCTAAAAATAAGGAAAATATTTTGACTGGAGGAAGGAAAAAACATGTATTTATTACAGAGTAATATCTGTTACCAAATATGACAGTAATATCGAGGTCCACTATTCCTTAGAAAATGATGTAAAAGTATATGAGAGAACTTAGGTTCAATATATAGATAGAGCTAAAAAAAATTCTACTGAAAATTGCAAAGTTTGCTCATGGCCACTCATGTATTAGATGAAATGAAATAAATTGATAAAATGAAATTAGATTAGTTGGATTACTACAATGAATTCTACATGGGAATCCTTCTGAAGACCACCAGATGTGCAACTGGTCCAGTGGTGCAAGTTTGCAAGTGTGCAAACAGCTCTTGGTACCTTATGGTTTGTCCAAATTAATTATTTTCATGTGAGTTGCAGTGGCCCCCAGTTGGTTTCTGCATGGAATTCAAAGGGCTGTTTATCAGCTTTAAAGCTCTATATGGCATTATTTGCCAGATTACCTTGTGTTCAGAATATTGGCACATCCTATTATGTCAGGCAGAGTGGATATACTCCATGTCCTTTTTCTTAAATGTTAGTAGATATGTGCCTTCTTTGTAGCAATCCCAGTTTAGAATAGGTTCCAACCAGAGTTATGACAAGTCTAGCTTTCCGGAGGGCAGTGAAGACTTCTAACCATAAGAACCATGGTTCTAACCATGCCATTTTATGTAGCACGATCATTTCTGAAGAAAACTGGAATAATGGACATATCTCTGAAGGAAAGCAATGTGATTGCCAGCTTCAAGGTAAATCAGACTAGGAATCCAATGTCACGTAAACCAGTACTACTTTTATTGTAAAACGACAATAACAGAATCTTGCAAGCCTCCCTACTTCTCTTTATAATTGTGAGAACCAGGGAGGGGCTTGTCTGTTTATTCAAGTAGCATTCATATCCTGAATCCAATTATCTTTTACCTAATTGTTTTGGTAGAAGCTCTTCAGAAAACCTGCAGAAGACTAGCATGACAAACTTTACCTAGTTAGATTCCATGGAATTTAAGTTAAGACCTGCAATATCAAAATGGAATAAATGTTTTCATGTTGAATATGTTCAGAAATTGGGTTGATGTAGCAAAACATTTCCATAATTGCTTCAAAGTGAGGATTTAAAAATGCTAAAAATTGAAAAACTGGGGTGATGTAGGAAGCTATAAACAAATAAACATATAGATTGAGATCTGAATAATCTATTTTTTCTTAACTAAGAGTTTTAGGATTCTCACTCTTTTGGGTCTAGATCCATGATAGCGAACCTATGTCACGCATGCCAGAGGTGGCACATAGAACCCTCTCTGTGGGCACGTATGCTGTCGTCAGCTGCTCTTCTGGATTCCAGCATGCTGGCCAGTGGTCTTCATGGGAGCCGGAGTGCCAGAAAATTTCTAAAAAACAGCCTGAAAAAATGGCCTAAAACAGTCATTTTTCAGGCCATTTCAGGGTCATTTTTTGGACCAAATACGGCCTGAAAGTGGCCCGTAAAATAGTCAAAAATGGACAAAAAACAGGCATGCGCACGCTGGCTGGCTGGTCTTTAGGTTTCAGGCACTCCAGCGCATGCATATGCACACATATTCCAGTTTGGACACTCAGTGCCAAACTGAGTGCGGCCCCAGCATGAGTGATGTCGAGCTGGCCATGCCCACCTCGGCCATGCCCACCCCCCAAGGTCAAACACAACTATTATGAGGTCCTCAATGAAATCAAGTTTGACACCCCTGCCCTAATACAAACACCCAATTTATCAAAATGCTCTCTGTTATCCCGTACTAGTAATGTCATAAGATTATCCCTGTTTGCATGGATCCTTTTAGGGCAGACAAAGAAAGCTGCAAATACTCTTCAAGCTTTAGGATCCATTTTGGAATTTTTCAATTAGCAGCATGCTAACTTCCCATTTTATAAAATTAAAATACATTTTAAAAAGTAATTACTTAGGTGGGAAGAATATTAATGGTGACCAACAAGGAAAGTATCTGTGGGCTTGTGGACCCCATATTCTAATATTATTCAGATTTTTTCATATTTTAATTAATTAATGTTTCTTGCATTGCCCTTTAGAGAAAATTCCCAAGAAACTTCAAATAATGTGAAATACACACACACATATATAAACACATTAAATGTAGATCAAAAAAAGTAACAAATCTATTAAACATTCAGAGTGAAATCACCAGGTCGGTCTATCAATATAAGAGTTTTGTCTATCACATACAAATGTAAAGGGGGACATGAAAAAATATATTACATAAAAATATAATAATCTAAACATGAAGATCCATTACCATGATCATTTTATTTTATTTTTAAAGGTAATTTTTCAATATTGCATAATGAGAGTGAATTGCACTTAAAACTGGATGTTTCTGTGTATATGTGATATACTAAGCAGAGTAATTACGGGCAGCAAAATATAAAGAAATAGACATTAATTCATTAATTCTACATATTAATTTGAAGTTCAAAGGAAATATTCAAAGGAAACATTTGTTTGAAACAAAGTAACTTAGTTTATTATACCAATATATGTTATTTTTGTATACATATAGATACATACCTTAGCCATAAGGGTTGTTCCAAAGCCACCTTGATAATTATTAGCAGAAGGTACCCCTTCCATTACTCCTGGCACAGGGTTGTATGTATCACTTGACCAACAACGGCCTGAACTCATATTTAAGATTTTGGCCAGGAGATTTGGGTCAAGCCCTAACCTGTCAAAGGTCAAAAGAAGAGAAGTGTTCATGTCAAAATGCATATGTCATGGATGACTTCTTTTTATATGTTGACACCATGTTGTCATTTCTCTACATTCATTGGGAGACTTGAAAAATGATCTACAGGGATGATATTGAGAGAAAGACTCTTCTTTAAATTAAAGGTCATCAATCCTTCATACTGGTCATGCATGCTAATTATTAGATGAATTGCCAGGCACAAAATAAAGATTCTTCAGAATTAATAGCTCCCTTTGGTCATTTTCTATATAAGGAAATATGATTCAAAAGATACTGTCAGAAGCATAAGCTACTATATTAAGACAAAGGGAAATTCTCCCACAGTAAGCTTCCTTTTTATCAAACAGTTATTACATTCAGATGTTTAAGAAATAAGTCTACTGTGACATATTTTCCCTATCTATTCAGAGACATGCATTACAGTTCTGGGTCAACTGCTGAGAAGGTTACAGATCCTGATAAAACAAAGCTTGTCCAAGCAGAAACATCATTTGTTCTATTGCTCTTACCAACTGATGGCACAAACCCCAGAGCAGTTGAGACAGACTGAAAATATAGTGAAAAATATTTCAGCAGATTAGGCTTTTATTTTTTTAAACAATCTGGCATGATTGTTTAACTGTGTGCAGTTTCATAAGAATTATACTCCTTATAATGAAAAGCAAGCACATTTTAAAATTGAAATATAACCAACTATACAAATGTAAGCATTTTAAAAGATGGATATAAAAATAATTGTAGAAAGGAAATGGTATAGGATGCAATCCAACACATAAACCCAGAGGAAAGTAAATGAATTAGTATTTACTTCTAAATGTACACATTTATAATTTACTTCACAAAAAAGCAATGTATTCACACATGTCATTAATGCAATATAGTAATAAATGGAAGTAAAGTTACAAAAAAATTTCTCCCACTATTATACTGCCTCCAACAAAATATTGTCTTCTTAATTTTAAAAAGATGGATTTTTCAGTGACTATGTTATAGCATGCCATATAAGAAGCAGCAAAGCTGAAATACTAGAAGGATAAATTATATTACTCCTTATTCTAACAATTTATTTTTCTACCTTAAATGTGTGTTGCCTATGGCTTTATTTCCAATTATTTTTTCCAATAGAAAGAATATTAATTATATCTTGTTGCTATTGTTCACAATCAATGATACTGTTCATTGATGAAGGTGCCTTGCGATAATTATCAATGTAAAATAGAAAGAAAGTCATGATATAATTAAAAGAAAACTATGTAGAAAATTTCGGTTGTTGTTCCTACCAGTTCTGAAAAACATCCTGGGAAAAAAATACTTCTTGGAATTTCTTTCAAATGTCAGAAATGTTCTAGGAAATCCTTCTTGTGTAAGAAAATTCAATGAATGAAGTACTACATTTGGCAAAGTGAAGATTATCTAAATGAATAGGAAGCATATACTAGTCTTAATGGACTTACCTTTCAAGAGTCCATTGAAATGGACTAGTGAATGTGAAATACAGTCTTAAATGTTCAGCTCCAATAACACAAAACAGATGCGAAGTTAAGGATGGATCCCACAAAAGAAGCCTTATCTTAAATGTATATAACATCACAACGCCTGTAAATGGCTTCCTGTTTACATTTTATTTATTTCTTTAATTTATTGACTGCCTGGCTCCAAAATACTCTGCACTTAATAATAATTTATTAAACTTGATATCAGACTCCTAATGACTCCATATCAACACAGTTCAAGGACCTCACAAAATTAGAACTATATAGATATCCATAGTTAGATTAGTGGAATGGAATGTTAATTTAGCATGATCTGAATACTAACAAGCACTTTGAGATATCAGGATGCTTTCACTCAAGTTTGCAAATTCAGAATTTAACTGTTTGGACATCATATTATTTCCAGAACCAAATTCTATTGTAAAAGGGCTTTAGACACCAAAAACACTTTTACTGAATTGCAACACTTTTACTGGACTTAGCAACATAATATCCAAAATCAACAATATATATAATAGTCTGACAATAATGTTTGTGATCCTCCATATTTTATTGTGTTTTAAAGAAGAATATAGTTTCATGACATGACCAGATATGTTAAATTTGGATGGTTTTTCTGAGATTTTGTATAACATTGAAATCTTGTGTGAGATTTCACAGGATAGGAATATCATCAGATTTTTGTTAATAGAAAGAGGGGGGAACAAAATGTATGTGAAATAATGCAATGTACAATACATTCTGCTTAATGTCTAAGGTTTTACAGCAGAGTGAAGCCTCCATTAGAAATATTTATCCCTCAGCCAAACAATATACTAGAATACTTTTATAAGTGTGCTTAATTTAATATACACTTGAAAATCACAAGATGTTCTAGATATAGTCAATATATTTCTAATGCTGGTTTCTAGAAGAAAAGGTCAAAAATAAAAATCACCCGATGCAGTTTCCTTCAAGATACTCAAGACTCTTCTCCCCCCCCCCTTAAAACCCTTCTTCTTCCTCCCTTTTATCTCTTGTAGCAAGTATATCATTAAAAGGAGCAAGTTGGAGGTGTTTTGCATTTTATCTTTCTGACGATTCATCTACTGGTGCGTAGATAACTGACAGCTAGAATTAGACACGTATAAAAATCTGTTACTGTAGAAGTCCTCTGTCTTCCACTGTGCCCATAGCTGGTAATGGTTTGAAAGCAGATAGAATATACCGTAATTGTCATTCAGTAAGAATCTAGCCTCAAAAGTCATGCTTCAGTGGAGAAGACTGAGTTTCCATTTGAAATCAACAAATTAATCCAAGACAGGTATCTGAAAGGGCAAGCTTAATAGGAAGCAGCTACGGGGCTCTCAACCATGATAAAATGTTATTGCTGTTTCCCTGTAAATTGGTTCAGAACATAGAATACTTTCTGCATAAGAGCTCTTTTGCTGTTCAAGAGATATACTGCTCAAACTATCAAAACAATGACAGTCTGTCAATCCACATAATAACTTGCCATTGGACATGGCAAAAGGATGAGCATGCACACATACATTTTACAACTGCCAAGGTGTTCCACATTTTGGAGTGAGGAGAGGGAGTCTGGACAGAAAGTAGGAATTGGGACACAAAATCAACACTCAGCTTTTAAACACTTGATAAGGCAATTTTTCCCCTCCCTTTCCCGTCCCTCAGGTAAAATGTCAAAAAGCATAAGAACGCAGATAAATCAAGAAGTGACCAGATTCAGATATTTGTGTTAGCATAAGGCTTGTTTTAATCATAGGTGGTTTAATAAACAACAACTGGATGAAAGTCCACACCTTCTGCCAAGGCATAAATGATTTTGAAAAGAGTTACATGGACTCATGCAATACTTCAGTCCAAATTATATTATAATAGGTTGTTAGCATAATGTAGCAATTTAAATATTATGATTTAAGTACTATATGGAATATTCAAAAGATTAATCAACAGAATTTGACTGTTTTTGTATTTATGCTAGTTACTTCATAGCGAACATTTGATAATTAAAAGAAATAGGTCATACATTTTGGGGGGAGGGGCGGGAGAACCACAATGAATGTAACCATAGTGAAAACTGAATAGGGACGCATGGCATATAAATTGGCAGGTCTAAGATTTTTTTATATATATATTGTATTTTTTGGAGTATAAATCACACTGGAGTATAAGACGCACCAAGGTTTTGAAGAGGCAAATTAAAAAAGTTTTTGCTCTGTGCAAACGTCCCCAAAATGGCCCATTTTTCATGAAAACAGGCCCAT